AGGAAGCTGGGAACACTTCCGGCGGTAAAGTGGTCCAGCTACTCTAACTAACCCTCCTTCTGAAAACAACACCAAATTCTGTATAAAACAAAAAAAATCTTCTTAAATGCGCTGATGAGCTGGTAATGAAGTAAGGAATACTCAGGCCAGAAAGAAACAAAAGCTAGAATTCAGAGGTCAATGAATTCAGAGCAAGGAAATAAGCCCTACTGGATCAGGCTGTTTGTGAGCCCCTAGGAGTGAGGGCTTGAGGGCTCTCAGAAATACGTGGGTGGGCTTTGCAGAGGCTGGAGGGGCTTCTCATCCACCTCAGCAGGTGGATGAAAAGAATAGGTGGAACTGGGGTGCTTATTGTTTCATTTTTATTCATGTAGCTCTATTTATCTTAAGGCTATTGAGGCCTGGGGAGACCAGGTTATAAAAAGACTGAAAAATCTCTCTTGGACTTGGTAATCAGTAGGTTCTTGGTGGTTTTAGAAATAGAAGTCTCAGTGGGGTGATGGGGTCTGAAGCCAGCCTGCAGAGGATGAGGAAGGAAGGATGGGAGATGAGGAAGTAGAGACAGTGTTACTTACTCTTCGGAGAAATCTGCATGGGGAGGGGACTGAAGTGGTTATGCGGTGGCCGGAAAGGGGAGAGAGGATCCTTTTTAGAATGGAAGAGACTTGAGTATGTTGTTGGGTGAGTAGGAGCCAAGAAAGTGAGGGTTTATAGATATGGGGGTGAGCAGGACTGATGGAGCAAGATCCCAGAATTAGTGGGGGGAATGGGATCCAGGAACCAGGAGAATTTGTGGAGATGGGCAGCTTTCTCCAGTAGGTCTCAGCAGGCCAACCAGTCTCAGGAACAGAAAAGGCAGACTTTGGGCGTCATGCAGGGATAAGCTGAGCCCAGGAGGATAGGGTGCAAGGGAATGACGGGTGTTAGGGAGGGAGGGATTCAAATGACCCTCCAGGGGTCCAGGATGGGGAAGAAGGAAGCGTGATGGGAGTGGGCAAAAAGACTGGGACTAGAAGTCTCCCGGAAGTTAAAGGAGTCAAGGAGGAGGTGTAGGTGGATTAAGGTTTTCCATGAGTAAGAAGGTTGAAGGCTGTGTTAGGGAATGAGATTTGACATGTAAGATTTCTTCTTCTTCTTTTTGCTGAGGAGGATTCTCCCTGAGCTAACGTCTATGCCAGTCTTCCTCCATTTTGTAAGTGGAAAGCTGCCACAGCATGGCTGCCGATGAGTCGTATAGGTCCGTGCCTGAGAACCAAACTTGGGCTGCTGAAGCAGAGTGTGCCAAACTCAACCACTAGGCCACGAGGCTGGCCCTGACATGTAAGATTTCTGAGGAAGAGCGTCTTATCCAAGTTATTTAACCTCTCCAAGCCTCAGCCTCCTAATTTGTAAATGGGACTAACATTCCTACCTATAAAAGTCAGAGCACTTTTTTCTCTCTAAAGATTAAATGACGACACATATAAGTGTGGTATCTGGGACATGGCAGGCACTCAACGTTTGTGAAAGGATGAAGGAAGGTGTGTCACTTCCCCTCTGTGGACCTCATTTTCCTAATCCTTACTGACTGTTGACTTGATCTGTCACTTACTGAGAGAGGTGTGTTTACACCTCCCACTGTATTGTGAATTTGTCTATTTTTATTTTGCTTTCTTTGCTTTATCTATTTTGAAGTTATATTATTAGGTGTATATAAATTTAAGATTATTCTATCTTTCCGATGAATTGGACCTTTTATCATTATGAAATGACTGTTTTGTCTCTCATAATGCTTTTTGTCTTAAAGTCTATTTTGATTAAAATTAATATAGTTATATCAGCTTCCTTTGGTTAGTATTTGACAGATTTTTCTATCCTTTTACTTTCAACCTTTCTGTGTTACGTTTTAGATATGTCTCTTATGAACGGCTTATACCTAGATTCATTTGCTTCATCTAGTCTGGCAATCTTTTTCTCTTAACAGAAGCATTTGGTCCATTTACATTTATTAAAATACTGATACATACATACACATTTATGTATCTATTTATTTATGAGTGTATGTATATATGGATGCATTTCTACTACCCTGTTATTTTGTATTTCCCCCCACCTTTTCTAGGTTTCTTTTTCTATTCTTTCTTGTTTTCTTGATTATTTTTTCTTATTTCATTTTTCTCTTTTACTAGTTTGCAAATTATACCTTTTTTGCTATTTTTAGTGGTTACACTAGAAATTTTAATATGCATATTTTATTTGTCTAAGTTAATATCTTTAATTTTTCTTAAATAAAACAAGAACCTTAGAACTAACTCTAATCTCCCCTCTCCTAGCTTATATATTATTGTTTTTATGTATCTGAATTTTAGCTTGTTTTTTTAAGCCTACAAGACATTGTTATTATGGTTTATACAATATTTGTTTAGATTTACTCATATATGTACCACTTTCTTTGGTCTACAGTCCTTGTCTTTCATTCCTTCCATCTGGGATCACTTTCTTTCTGCCTACTGGTGGCAAATATAGTTTTTGTTCGTCTCATCATGTCATTATTTTTTCTTATTCTTAAAATATCTTTTCACTGATATTAGAATTTTTGATCAACAGTCATTTTCTCCTAGCACGTTTAAGGTATACTTCCACTTCTTCCAGCTATTGAGAAATCAGTCATTTTAGTCTAATTGTCATTACTTTGAAAACAATCAGTCCTTAATACTTTCTTTGGTATTTGCTATTCTGCATTTTCACTATGATGTGTCTATTTGTGGATTTCTTTTAATTTATTCCTTTTGGGATTTCCTGAGATTCTTGAATGTATGGATCGATGGATTTCTGGATAAATCTCAGACACTAGCTATTCAAATATTGCTTATGACCCCTAATCTCTCTCCTCTCCTTCTGGAACCTCTGATTACATGTATCTTGGACTTTCTTGCTCTACCCTCTGTGTCATTTAACCATTTTTTCGTATTTTCCATCTTTTTTATTTCTGCAGCATTTTAGAGAATTTCTTCAGGTCTATCCTCCAGTTCTAATTTTGTTGTGTCTGATATATTCAATTGTGTGTAATCTTCTATTAAATACAATCATTGAATTTATAGATTTGGTTATGATATTTTAAATTTCGAGAGAGACGTTCTATTTATTTCTTGTTCAAATATACTTGGTCCTTCTTCAGAGTCTCTTGTTCCCTGCTCAAATTTTCAAGCTTCTCTTTTACACTTTCAGCACTTTGAACATAGTTATTTTACATTATTTGTCAGATAATTCCAACATCTGAAGTCTATGCAGATTTGTTTCCACAGTCTGTCATTTCCCTGAATGTTTTGTGATTTTCACCTAGTAGCTAATTCTTTTTTTGGAACTTTGTCGGCGGGAATTCTTGGGGCTTGGGATGAAGGTGGGTTTTCCCAGGAGGGTTTGCATTTGATTTGCCAGATGCTTATGGTATTACCAGACTGGGCCCACTTTGCTTATTTATTTATTTTTCTTTTAAGATTTTATTTTTCCTTTTTCTCCCCAAAGCCCCCTGGTACATAGTTGTGTATTTTTAGTTGTGGGTCCTTCTAGTTGTGGCATGTGGGATGCCGCCTCAGCATGGCTTGATGAGCGGTGCCATGTCCATGCCCAGGATTCGAACTGGTGAAACTCTGGGCCGCTGAAGCAGAGCGCATGAACTTAACCACTCAGCCATGGGTCTGGCCCCAGGGCCCACTTTAAATTAAATGCTTGACTTAAACTTTTCACACCACCTACATAGTGCGAATTTGGGCTTCAAATCCACGTAGGTATGGCTCATGGTTATAAATTTGCAGGGGATATTTTCTTTTCTTCTGAGAACAGGGAAATTAAGAAAAGTATTCTTCTTTCTAGTCTGTTGGGAGGTGATAGTGCTTATATCTAGTTCATTCATTCACTGAAGTCCCAATCTTGGGTGGGGTAGGTTTTTGTTAGACTTCCCACCTTAGAAGGGCCTTGAATTTCTCTCAGTAATGTGCTGAAATTGGCTCCTACCAGCTCAGAAGAACCAAATATCCATGAATTTTTCATGCCAGTTCTTAGTACCTTGATAGCTTGAAATTGGCCATAGTGGGAGTATTTACACCATGGAAATCAGCAAACAGGAAAAGCAGGATGCTTTGTTTTGTTGGAGAACAAGTTACTAGCACACCACTGGTTTCTCTCAATTCACTCCACCCCTACAAGACCATGAAAATTCAAGTACAAGTTTACTGAGTTAAAAAATAAAAATGATAAAGTTCCCGTTGTGCAAGATGAAAGAGTTCTAGAGATCTGCTGTATAACGTTGTGCTTATAGTTGCCAATACTGTACTGCACACTTAAAAACCTGTTAAGCGGGTAGATCTCATGTTATATGTTTTTTACAAGTGAATAAATAAATAAGATTGGAATGTCCTCACAGCAAAATTCAGTCTCATTGCTCAGCTTACTTCTCTGGATTCTTGAATTTTTTGGCCTGAGTATTCCTCACTTTCTTGCCATGGGTGCGTTAAAAAAATATTGTTTTTTCTTTTAACCAGAATTGTTTTCAAAAGGAAGCTTATTTGGGGGTACCTAGCCTACCTTATTGCCAGAAAATGAAGGGTCCTCAGTTTCTTAACCTAGAAATCGAGCTAGTTGGACTAGACCAATAGTTCTTAACACTTTTGGGACATAGACCTTTTAAGAATCTTATAAAAATTAGAGCCTAGAGATCCTTTCCCCAGGAAAATACACATACACAGAGAAAATGTATGCTTTTGCTCCCCTGAGACCATGCCCAAGATTAAGAACCCCGAATGATGTGAATGCTCTCTGAGCTTCCTGCCAGAGCTCACTTTTTTTTTTTTAATGTTTTTTTTTTTTTTAAAGATTTTACTTTTCTCCTCTCTCTCCCCAAAGCCCCCCGGTACACAGCTGTATATTTCGTTGTGGGTCCTTCCAGCTGTGGCATGTGGGACGCCGCCCCAGCATGGTCCGACGAGCAGTGCCATGTCCGCGCCCAGGATTCGAACCAACGAAACACTGGGCTGCCCGCAGCGGAGCGCGCGAACCCAACCACTCGGCCATGGGGCCAGCCCCCAGAGCTCACTTTTGATGGCCACGTCGTGTTTGCCTTGAGCAGAGAGTTTCCACCAGTCTCCTTGGGTGAGTATGAGAAGTACAGACCTTTGAGTTTCTGAATTGGGGCTTCCAGGATTTCTGGGACCTCTTAGAAAAGGAGAAACTGAGAGTTGTCAACCACAGCTTGTATAGAGCTAAAGCACAGACAGTATTCCTTCAACCAGACCTCTCTCCATTTATTCCTTCAATAAGTGTTTATTGGACTCTGTTCCAGCTATCTACCACTAGAACCATCTCCACGCTTAGTGTTTTATATAGTAATAACAATCATTTATTTTTCTCTCTCATGGTTCTAGGAGTAACTGGGCTCAGCTAGGCAATTCTCACTCAGGGTCTGTCATGTGGTTGTAGTCAGAAGGCAGCTGAGGCTGGAATTATCTAAAGCCTTGCTCAGTTCCTGTCTGATAGTTGATGCTGGTTGTAAGCAAGGTTTTTAGTGGGGCTTTTGGCTGAAACACACACATGTGGCCTCTCTATGTGACCTGGGCCTCCTCACAGCATATCAGCTGGGTTCTGAAAGGGAGTATCCAAAAAGAGAGCAGGCCAGGAGGAAGCCATATTGTCTTTTATGGCCTAGCCTTAGATGACACACAGCATCACTTCTGCCACCTTCTGTGAATTAGACACAAGTTATTAGACCAGCACATATTTAAAGGGAGTTCAATTGATACTAACCCTGATATCAGTTTCCCTACATTAAACCCAGCATATATGGGGTTAAAACCACAGCACTCATTCCCTTCTTACTCTCTGGCTTCCTGGCTCTAGAATCCACTATCCTCCATGGAGATAGACACCGCCAAGGACAAGCACCTGGATTCATTATCTCCTCCCCACAAAGAGATACAGGCTGGTGGGAAAGCTGCTGGCCAGCAAGGTCACGGGCTCCCCCATCTCTGCAAGTAGTCTCAAGGCCAAAGACAGGCTGGTAGGAAAGCTCCGACCAGCAAGGCCATATGCTCCCCCTCCCCTACCTAAAACCCCAAATAAAAATCCTTCCTTTTAGCTTTTGGGGGAGTTTGGGATTTCAGCGTTATCTGCCCTCTCTCCTTGCCCAGCACTGTGCAATGATCAAATTCCTACTTTCTTTCACTACACCCAGTGTCAGAGATTGGCTTGCTGTGCAATTGGTGAACAAACTCACTTCAGGTTCAATATCACAATTAGACTCTATCTCTTTATGAGAAGAATGTTAAAAAATTTGCAGACGTGTTTTAAATTGCTGCATACCCCTTCTGTGTGCCTAGCACTGGACAAGGCTCTTGGGACAGAGTGGTGAGTCATACAAACCCTGCCCTCATCGCAGTTACAGTCTAGTGGTGGAGATAAAGACTAAAATAATATTACAGATAGCTACACAATTGTAAAGTTTGATAGTGCTATGAAAGGTGAGTACAGGGAGCCATGAGAAATTGTATCACATATTTGTGTGACCTGGACCAGGGACCCAAGGAGAATTCCCTGAAGAAGAGACATCTGGGTTGAGCTGAAGCATTAGTGGATGCTACCTCTGTGAAAGATTGAAGAAGAGCCTTCCAGGCAGAGTGAACAATGGCCATGGCCCTACGGCAGGAGGAAGGTGGCCTGAGAAGCCTCCAGTGTGTCTGGAGGCAGATACCAGGGGAGGGCTGTGGGAGACGAGCCTGCAGAGGTGGGTTGGGGCCAGGCCCCCAGGCTCTGTAGGCCAGGAGAGGATATTGGTACCTGGCTTAAAAGCTGTGGGAAGCTACTGAAGCATCACTCACTGGAGAGTGACATGAACAGATCTGCATTCTGAAGATCACTTTGGCTGCTGTGTGGATGGCCCCCACCAGCTGCTGAATCAGGACTGGGAGGGCTGGGAGACTCCTGTCTGCAGTACTTCCCCCTTCATGAGACTCTCCCACACACACGCTCAAACCTGCAGCAGCCTGGATCCTATACCTCCTCAGTTCTCCTCCCAAGCACAGGAAGTCCTGCCATCTTGCATTACTCAAGTAGTCACTACTTTAGTCTGTCAGTCAGTTAGTGCAGTGGGTTGAATAGAGGCCCCCAAAAAGATATGTCCACATCCTAATCTCCAGAACCTGTGAATGTTACCTTATTTGAAAAAAAGATACTTGTGAGTGTAATTAAGCTAAAGATCTCAAGACCAGCAGATCATCCCAGATTATCCGGGGGGACCCTAAATCCTATGACAAATGTCCTTATAAGAGTAAGGCAAAAGGAGATATGACTTGAACAGAAGAGGAGGAAGTAATGTGACCATGGAGTTGGAGATTGGAATGATGTGGCCACAAGTCAAGGAATGCCAACAGCTGGAAGAGTCAGGGAACAGAATGTCCCCTAGAGCCTCCAGAAGGAGTGCGGCCCTGTTGACACCTTGAGTTCAGCCCAGTGATCTGATTTTGAACTTCTGACCTCCGGTGAAAGAATAAACTTCTGGTTGTTTTAAGCCACTCCATTTGTGGTAATTGGTTACAGCAGCCCTAGGAAATTACTACAGTTGGGTACTTCTCCAGTTCCTTCCTGATGAGCTTCACCGGCTCCTTCAGGGCCTCCAAGTGTTGGAATGCCCCAGGCTCAATTCTCAGACTTCTTCGTCTAGTCTCTCTATGTGATCTCATCCATTCATTTGGCTTTAAAATGCCATTTCTTTGCCAATACCTCCCAAATTTTATCTCCACCCAGACCCTTCTCATGAAACTCAGCCATCTTCACAGGTGGATGAAAACAGAACTCTTGTTCCACTCCGACCATCACCCACAAATCTTCCAGGCCAGGCATCCCCAGCCAGCCAGCACTCAAGTGGGAAACAGCCATCCTTCCCTCATGCCTTATATACAACTGCTAGCAAGCCTTGTGGTTCAATTCTCAAAATATTTCTTGAATCTGTCCACTGCCCTCCATTCCCACCGTCTCCACAGCCAGCGGCATCTCTCACTCAGATACTGTACCAGCCTCCTGATGACTCCCAGCTTCTCCTGGTGCCCCGCCCCCAGGCACTTCTCACAGCAACCTGAGTAAATTTTTTTAAAAAGCAAATTAGATCAGGTTACAGATTTTTGAACGATTTTATTGAGCTATAATTGACATACAATTAACTGCACACTTAAAGTGTACAATTAGATAAGTTTTAGAATATGTATACACCCATGAAATCATCAATACAATAAAGATAAGGAACATATCTATGACCCCAAAACGTTTCCTTGTGCTGCATTGAAATCCAGCCCTCCCTCTCCCACCTCCCATCCTCAGGCAACCACTGATCTGCTTTCCATCCCTATAGACTAGTTTGCATTTTCAGAATTTTATATAAATGGAATAATATAGTATATACTCTTTTTTTATATGGCTTAATGATTTTGAGATTCATCCATGTTATTCACTGTATCAATAATTCATTTCTTTTTATTGTTGAGTAGTATTCCATTGTATGGGTGTACCACAATTTGTTTAACCGTTCACCTGACGATGCACATTTGGGTTGTTTCCAGTTTTTAGGTACTGTCTATAAAGCTGCTATAAACATTCATGTGTAGGTCTTTGTGTGGACTTATGCTGTCATTTCTCTTGGATAAATACCTAGGATAGGAATGACTGGGTCATATGGTAGGTATGTGTTTAACTTTTTGAGAAATTGCCAAACTGTTTTCCAAAGTGTTTAAGCTATTTTACATTCCCACCAGCAGTGTAGAAGAGTTATAGTTGTTCCACGTGCTTGCCGACACTTGGTATGGTCAGTCTTTTAATTTTAGTTTTTCTAGTCGGTGTGTAGTGGTGTCTCATTATGCTTTAATTTACATTTCTCTGATAACAAAGGAGCATCTTTTTATGTGCTTATTCGCCATTTGTATCTTCTTTGGAGAAGTTCAAACTTTTGGCTCATTCAAAAAATTTTTCATTTTTTGTCTTCTTATTGAGCTGAAGATACTTTTTAAACATATCCTAAATACAAATCCTTTGTTCTTTATATATTCTAGGTATATAAAGAGGTTTTTAAAAAATTTATTCTAGATACAAGTCCTTTGTTGGATATAGGTTTTGCAAATATTTTCTCCCACTGATGACCAACTTTTCATTTTCCTAGTGGTATCTTTCGGACAACAAAAGTTTTAAATTTAATGAGGTCTAGTTTACCAACTTTTTCTCTTATTGATAGCACTTTTTGTGTCATATCTAAGAACTCTGCCCAACCCAAGGTTATGAAGAGTTCCTCCCAGATGTTTTACGTTTTTGCTCTCACATTTAGGTTTGTGATCCATTTTGAATTAATTTTTGTGTATAGCATGAGATAAGGGCAATGGTTCACTTTTTTTCCACACAGATTTCCAGTTGTTCCAGCACCATTTGTTGAAAAGATTATCTTTTCCTCAAAGATGATTTAGCACTCTTATCAAAAATCAATTGGCAATATGTGTGGAGCTTTATTTCTGGACTGTCTTTTTTGTTCCATTCATCTATATGCATATCTTTTTTTAAAATTTTTTTATTTTAGAGACAGTCTGAGTCTGTGTTAAACTGTCCCTCACTCTTTTTGTTTTTTTGAGGAAGATTAGCCCTGAGCTAACATCTGCTGCCAATGCTTCTCTTTTTGCTGAGGAAGACTGGCCCTGAGCTAACATCTGTGCCCATCTTCCTCTACTTTATATGTGGGACGCCTACCACAGCATGGCTTGCCAAGCTGTGCCATGTCTGCACCCGGGATCCGAACTGGCGAACCCCAGGCCACCAAAGCGGAACGTGTGCGCTTAACCGCTGTGCCACCGGGCCAGCCCTATATGCATATCTTTACATCAATACCATACTGTCTTGATTATTGTAGCTTTATAATAAGTCCTGAAATCAAGTAGGGACACTTCTCCAACTTTATAATTCTTTTAGAAGTTGTTTTGGCTATCCAAGGTCCTTTGCATTTCCATATACATTTTAGAGTCAGTTGATTGATTTCTACAAAAAACCCTGTTGAGCATTTTTTTTTTTTTGAGGAAGATTAGACCTGAGCTAACTACTGCCAGTCCTCCTCTTTTTGCTGAGGAAGACTGGCCCTGAGCTAACATCCATGCCCATCTTCCTCTACTTTATACGTGGGACACCTACCACAGAATGGCTTGCCAAGCAGTGCTGTGTCCGCACCCGGGATCCGAACTGGCAAACTCCGGGTGACCAAGAAGCAGAACATGCGAACTTAACCGCTGCACCACCGGGCCGGCCCCCTTGTTGAGCTTTTGATGGGTATTATTTTGAATCTAAATGTATCAATTTGGGGAGAATTGCCATCTTAAAAATATTGAGTCTTCTGAACCATAAACACAGTACCTCTTTCCATTTATTTAGGTCTTCTTTCATTTCTCCCAGCACTGTTTTGTAGTTTTCAGTGTACAAATCTTCACAGCTTTTGTCAGATCTATCTCTAAGTATTTCATATTATTGACAGTATTATAAATGGTATTGTTTTTACAATGCAATTTCCAAGCATTCATTGCTCATATACAATTGATTTTCATGTATTGATCTGGTTCCTGCAACTTTGCTAAACTCGCTTGTTAACTTTGGTCACTTTTCCTAAGTAGATCACTTAGGATGTTCTGTGTATATGATCGTGTCATTTGTAAGTGAAGACAGTTTTACTTCTTCCTTTCCAACCCGCATGCTTCTTGTTTCTTTTTCTTGCTGTATTGTACTGGCTAGGACCTCTAGTACAATGTTGAGTAGAAGTGGTAACAGACATTTTTGCCTCATTCCCAATCTTAGACGGAAAGATTCAATGTTGAACCACTAATTATGATGTTAGCCTTAGGTTTTTCACAGATGCCAGGTTGAAGGACTGCCCTTCTTTTCCTACTTAGCTGAGGGTGTTTATCAAGAATGAAGGTTGGATTTTGTGGAATCAATTTCCTGAATCTATTGAGGTGATTGCATGTTTTTTTTCTTTTTTAGTTTGTTAATATGGTGAATTACATTAATTGATTTTCGAACATTTCAAACCTGGCATTTCTCAGTAAACCCACTTGGTCATGATGAGTTATCCTTTTATGTATGTTGGATTTACTTTGCTAGAATTTTGATTAATTTTTTTGTATTTAAGTTCATAAAGGATATTAGTCTGTCATTTTCTTTCCTTGGAATGTTTTTGTCTGGTTTTGGTATCAAGTAATGCTAGCCTCATAGAATGAGTTGGGAAGTATTCCTTCCTTTTCGAATTTCTGAAAATTTTGTATAAAATTGGTATTTTTTTTCTCCCTTAAACGTTTGGTATAATTCACCAGTAGAGGCATGTATGTCTGGAATTTTCTTTATGGGAAGATTTTTTAACTATAAATTAAATTTCTTTAGTGGATATAGGGCTATTCAGGTTATCTATTTCTTCTTGAAGGTGTCATACTTTTGCTTAAAGCCCACAGGGTCTTGCCCTCACATCCACCTAAGTCCTTACTGTGCTTTACAAGGCCCCATATGGTCTGCTCCTGCCCTCCTCTCCAACCTCATCTACATGCCAGCTTCCCCTTGCTCACCATGTTTTAGTCACATCGGTCTTCTGGATATTCCAAGATTTTGCCAAGCTCTGTCCCAACTCAAGGCCTTGACATTGCTTTTCCCTCTATCTGGAACGCTTTTCCACATGCTCTTTGCATGGGTTTTTTTCTCGTTCTCATCGCCTAGGTCTCAGATAATGTGTCAGGGAGGTCTTCCCTGACCATTATATCCATGTAGGGCCTGCTAGGTACTCTCTCCCACAGAATCCTGTTTACTTCCTTCATAATCTATATATCACACTCTGTCATTGTTTTATTTGCTTACTGTCAGCTCCCTGAGATCAGGGATCTTGTCTGTCTCATTCACTGCTATATTCCCTGCACTCAGAAAAGGAACTGGCACAAATGAGGTGTTCAAACATTTTTTTTTAATAAAGAGACTAAATTAGTGGGTTGGCCTATTGGTCAGGCTGTACATGAGGCAGGCAGCGAGTCTTCTGTGAGCCTGCCGGTCAGTCTGAGGTTTTCAGTCAGCCTGGAATAGGTCAGATGGGCATTGAGTGGGCTGGTTGCAATGTGGGATGGGTGTGTGTGACTGATGAGCCCCCTGTGAAATCAGTCCAGGATTCTGGGGGATACAAAGAAGTGACAGGCCAAGGCCCAGTTCCAAGAAGCTTCTGGGCCGCTTGTCAACTTGGAGGCTCACTGCTCCCCTTTGCCCGGCCAAGAGGTGAAGTGGGCATGGCACAGGGTGAATAGGCGAAGGCTGCACAGCCTGGCCCTAAGTCTGGCAGCTGCTCTTCAAAAACTCTACTGCAGGGCTTTCAAACCCCATAAAAGCCTCACCTGGCGACTGCTGTGCTCAAGACGAGCCTGTGCAGGAGACACAGAGAAGGCTTTGTGGCTTCTTCCCCACCCCACCTGCCAACCTCCCCTGACCTGGGCTCTCTGTTCATGGAAACTCCCCCACTGGACCTGGCTGCCTGGCCCCAGGAGACAGGTTATGGTGCACGTTGCCACTGCCTGCTCTCCGCAGGGGCAGGACATGGGCCTGGTGTACCTCCAGGGGCCACTCCTTACAACTGAACCCATCCTAGGTGCCCCTCTCCACAGACCAGAAAAAGCCTAGCTCTTTGGTTGAGGAAGAGGCCTTGCGTGAAAGCTGGGAACTTCACGGTTAATCTCATTTTCCCAGGAATGCCCTGGCTGTGGGGTCATGGATGTGGCTGGAGTCCCATCATAGATGAGTATGTGTAAGAGGGTGTCAGAGCTGCCTGTGTGGGAGCAGCTGTTTGCAATAACTGGCCAGCAGCACCCAGGCTGCCTGCGTCCTGCTCACTGACAAACTCCATGACCAGGAGGTCCTGCTCTGGTGACATCATCCCCTCTCACACTGCTGAGGGAAATGAGCTCAGGGCCGCCATCGGAGGCGGTGTGTTTACTTCCAGAGACCCTGGCCGTCAGCAGCTCTTTGCCCAGACATTCCCTGTCCCAGCCAACATGAAGCAGAAATTTCCTTAAACACTTTGCTTTGGCCTCAACCCACTGCTTGCTCCCTTGCTTTCAATTTTTTTTCAAGAGGAAAATTCCCAGTTCTGGCCCCAAATATAGCAGCCCAGAGAAGGTGGAGGGAAATCACAATGACCCCCAGAGAGCCTTTCGCAGGTTAAGTTGTTCCCACCTCCCCGGTAACCCCTGGAGCTGGGAGATCATCAAACCACATCCCAGTCACCCACGGGGAGGGGGGCAGTGGCCAGAGGGATGGCCAGCCTGGCTTCAAGGGCAGACCCTCTCCTTGAGGGCCTCCCTCAGCCCCTTGGCCACCCTGAGGTCATATTCAGAGCATTTCCCAACTCAGCAACCCTGGCTAGGCCCTAGACCCCTCCCTCATTCCCCTTGGGTCAGGGATATTTCAGGAGAGCCCAAGAGACGCCAGTTTTCACAGGCTCCAGGGGATTCCCGACATGATCATCCCCCACCAGCTCTGGCCATGAGGCGCTGTCACCTGCCCTTCCCCAACTCTCTTCGTGTTGCTCCTGCTGGAACTCAGCCATTCTAGAGGCCTTGAGGGGACAGGGGTCATGGAGGTCTCATCCGTCTCCCCAGTGCTCCAGGATCCTAAGGCCACCTCTGCCAGGAGCAGAGCAATGCCCTCCCAGGAGTATCAATCATAGGAGACAGGTGCCGTCCGCCTGGCTGGATGGGCCCAGTAGTGGGGCTGGTCAGGCAGGCCCAGACATGTTGAGGAGCCTGAGGCCTTACCTGACCCAGCTCTGCCCTGTGGCCTGATCCTGCTTAGCTCAGCAAACTGCGAGGGGCAGGATCAGGTCAGAAGAGGGAGTCAAACCTGTGTTTCACGGTGCTTTACGCAAGACAGAAAATTTAAGGGTCCACATCCAAGATGAGATGCAGGGAGCGGCTCACACACAGATCTGAACTGGCAGCTTTTTAAAAGGCATTGAAGAAAGGGCCAGATTTTCTCACCCAATTGTCCGCACCCCCCAAACAACAGAGGGCCAGAACTCCCTACACATGTGGTTCCAGTGATTTCAATTAGTCAGTGTGTCTACCGAACCCAGAATTTGTAAGGTATGAAAGTTGGAAAGATCCTAGATAAGGACAGAAGCTAATATTTATTGAACTTCTGAGAGCTTGGCAGGGTACTCACATTATCTTATTTAATCCTCACAGCTCTGAAGGAGATTAAGTAACTCTAAAGGAAACACAGTTTGTATATAGCAGAGATGGGATTCGAATCCAGTTCTGTCTGAACCCAGAGCTTCTACAATTAGGCATCCCTCAATTTGACTTCCAGAAAGTAACTAAGTCAGGAAATCAATCATACTCCTTCTGTAAAAAAAGCAAGGCCTGTGAGTTAAAGACATGACAAGCCAGCCCCTCCATCCTAGAGATGAGGAAACCGAGGCCAGATCACAGAGTGAGTCTAAACTGCTCATAGGACAGTGGTTCAGATTCAGATCAGTGTCCCTACCACCACCCCAGCCCGTCTCATAGTCCTAAGCCAACCCAGGGGAGGGAAGGCTGGGAGAAAAACTGTAAGCTTTGCCTTCTAGGAAACAAGGCAGACAAAGATGAACAAACAGAGAAACCCACACATAGACACATATAGATATCCACATGGGCAGACAGGCAGAGACATGGATACACAGGCAGAGAGACACACACAGGCACTTACACCCATGTGTTATATTGCTCTCATCTCTCTACCTGCTGTGCTTCCTTTCCAGATGGCAAGTTCCATGAGGAAACAGGCAAAAAGGGCCCTTACCCCAGGCCCAGCCTTTAGATGGCCACACTCTGGCTCTACTCTGACCACACTCCACCCTACACAGTGAGAAGTCCCTGGGACTGAGAATGGGTCCACTGGGAGCCCAAGACCCCTCCTGGACTACAACTCAGGTACATGGGTCCCCATTATTTCCCACTCAGAGCCATTATTCACAGTTACCAATGGTGGCCAAGGGGCAGCTGTTTGTGAGGTGCAGTCATGGAGTTTGGACACATATGAGGAGGAACACATGCTGCCTGTGAGGGCCTTCAGGTACAGGACAGAGCCAGGATGGGGAAAGAGGCTGGGGCCGCTCGCTCCGTGTGGCTGAGTTCCAGCACAGAACTCAGAGGAGCTGGAAATTCAAAATCAAACCCAGCCTTCCAGGTTATGAGGATTGAGTATTTTATTTAGAAGTTTGTTGTTTTGACTTATGACATTTACATATTTAGACATACGAATATAAGCCTTCATTTGGACTCTTGCCCTGGGTCTTATGAATGTTAGGAGCTGCCCTGGACACCTCTCTAACCTCCAGTGCCCAGTGTGGGGCCAGTCACAGAGCAAGTGCTTTAAAGATGTCTCTTAGTAAATGAGCAAATCACTGTATGAATGAATCCATGAATGAGTGAATGAAAGCTCCTCACAAATGTAAATAGACAGGCATACGTGCTCTCAGAGACTCACCAACATCTTATTGACAAATATGTGCCCATGTTCCCAGAGACACAACATGTCTAAACTTACAGCTAGAAAAACAGGTACATGTTTACACCAAAACAACCTACACGCTCACATGCCCAAGGACCCACGTAGGCAGGCGTATTCCCACTCATCTATGCAAAGACCTAGAGGCCCACACTATGCCTTGAAGTTACCCACATACTCAGCTTACACAGAGATGTGGACACACATACGCAGGCAGACACCTAAGTACACCCTTTCCAACTGAGGAATCCAGCTCCAACCAGAAATGCAGCCGCCTACACATGCAAACACGAAGCAGTTACACAAATCCACACTGACACACGCAGCTGGACAAAGACGAAGCTGTAGGCCGAGACAGACTGGGACAGACAAACTTGAGACACCTGTCCACAGAGACCCCAGGGCCACCCTGGGCTCCCACACTGTCTGCCTCCCTCCCGCTCCTGTCTGCAGCCAGAGGGGGCTCCTAGAGGAATTCCTTCTGCAGGCTGGCTGAGAAAGGCTGCGCTCTCCTCCCCCGCAGTCCCAGGCTAGAGTGTTAGTACAGAGAAGCACATGGTGTGTGCTGGGCGGGCTCCCCCTTCCCAAGCATTCTGCCCTCTGTCCTCTGCCGCCTCCCATAACCTGGCCAAGCCCAGGCTGGGCACTGGACCCTGGATGGTGGCAGAGCCACACTCAGGTCCCGCTGCCCCAGCTCTAATCCCGACAGGATGATTTAGGAGGGGGTGGTGAACAGTGCTTTTCCAGAAGCCTTGCTTCCTCAGGAAATGGCTTGGCTGCAAGCCTGATCTCCAAAACAGGCGTAGGATGAAAACACCTCTGCTCCTCTCCAAAAGCATGGGCCACCCCTCTCAGCCCCTCCCATCATTCTAGCCACAGCATCCCCAGTGTCCCAAGGCAGTGGATCACAAGGAAAGGCCCAGCGGCTAGTCTTGCTTCTGCCGCTGACTTGCTGCGTCCACCTCTGTAAAATGAGCCATTTGGGTGTGATGACTTCAGATCTAGCTAGAATGATGTAGGAGTCTCAAATTCCCCCAGCAGCCCCTGGGCAAGGGTGAAGGGACTCCGATTCCAGGGACAGTGGCCTGGTGTGGGCCTCCCCCGACGTCACAGAGTCATTATTACAAACACAGAGCTTGGTCCAGGAGTGGCTTGAGTGGCGTGGGGGTGAAGTGGGGTCTCAGGCGAGGGAATGTCCTGTGCAGTCTGGAGACAGCAGGCGACCTCTCCTCTCCCTTCCACCCACTCGCCAGGTCCCCCAGGCCTCTGCTGGAGGTGGACAAAGGACAGCAGCCCCACCCAGCCGGGCGGGGCTGAGAGACAGGAATGCTGCTTGGCACAGCTGGCCGAACAGGGGAGACTGTTTATCCTCTGACGTCGGGAACATCTCAGACCATCAGGGGGATTTGGCTGCAGGCAGCCCCTGGATGCAAGGTCTCGAAGAAGGCATTTTCTTTTTTTTTTTTTTTTTGAGGAAGATTAGCCCTGAGCTAACTACTGCCAATCCTCCTCTTTTTGCTGAGGAAGACTGGCCCTGAGCTAATATCCATGCCCATCTTCCTCTACTTTATATGTGGGATGCCTACCACAGCATGGCTTTTTGCCAAGCGGTGCTATGTCCGCACCTGGGATCCAAACCAGCGAACCCCAGGCCGCAGAGAAGAGGAACGTGTGCGCTTAACCGCTGCACCACCGGGCCGGCCCCTCGAAGAAGGCAATTTAATCAGAGCAGGCTCCCCGAGCTCTGAGCAGGCAGCGGGGATGGAAGGGAGGGGTTGCCCTCCCTGCCCCACATTCAGTGCCATATGTGCCTCTGAGTCCACCTCCTGGGTCTCCAGTGATGATGACAGTGCTGGAGAGGTGAATGGAGCTGAGCCCAGAGCTCTCGTTAATAGCGTGGGCATCAGGGGAGCCTTCCTGTGGTCCCACTGCCAGCATCCCAGGTGCCCAGCGCTTATGAGACATAGCAGAGCTAACAAACGATCTTTGCCTGGGAAGAGAGCTCATTTTGCTTCCCCTGGGCCTGGTGTTGCCCACTCCAGCCTCCCTATACCACCAGCCCAGATCCTTTTTGTGAGGATTAAATAAGATAATTCTTTCAATGCAAGAAAGAATTATTCTTTCAATAAGTCTTTTCAATACAAGTGCAGGATGGACTTGATAAATGATAGTGCCTTTCTCTCTCATTTCTTCTATTGGTGCAGACCCAATCTCTGGTCTTCCTGAGGGCCAGGCCCCTCCAATGTAGCTTATAACCCCACCCTGGTCACATCTACCCATTGCTGCTTGCAGACCTCAGCATGCCCTGGGGTTTCCTAGGCTAGAAGCCTTTCTGGAGAAGAGTCCAAGTTGACCCAAGGAGGCAACTTGATGCTCAGGCTACAGAAGGTCCCAGAACATAATGTCTTTTGTGTGTGTGTTTTGCCCATCTCTCATTTTGCACAGGTTTGAGTGCTCTGTGGGGATAGTCCAAGGGTCACGGCAAACTTCATCAGGCCTGACTCACTCATTTGGAATTCACATCTCTATATTTAATAAAGGGTTTACACAAAAAACAATGAAATTCCAGGATGGCAGATCCCTCCCCACTTTATTCCCGACAAGATCCGATTCAAACTCTGTTAAGTAAAAAGGAATTTATTGGTCACATAAGTGAAAAGTCTGGCGTTAGGCACAACTGGACTCAGTACTCGAATAACATCATCAGGACTCAGTTTCTCTTCCTTTCTTGGCTGTTTCCACTCTGTTGGTGTCAGTCTGAGGCTTCGCATGGCAGCGAGACGGCAGTAGAGCCAGCCTCTCATATTGAGTTCCAGTGGGAATGCAAGCTCTCTTTCCCCAGCCGCCCGTCAGCAAAAATCTCCTTGTAGACTCTGATCAGGTCACATGCCCATATCTGAACCAATCACTGAGGCCAGGGAAATGCAACTTGCTGATTGGCTGGGGCCTGAGCCACTGCTCCGCCCCGAGAGTGCGTGGGTAGAAGGGGCAATGAGCTTTACCAAGATGCAGTGCGAGTGGAAAAGGGGTTGGTTCTCCAGAGTGAATCTGGGGTAGGGTACCAGGAGGGTGAAAGAACCGTGGGTGACGAGAACAACAGATGTCATCCAAAGGAAATTAATGGTCAAAGAACTAAGAAGACAAATACTCTTCAAGCACTCTCAAGCCCTCTAAAAATATAACTGATGTGCTAGTTTTAAATCCCTACAGACTCCTCATAGACAACGTCATAGGCCTGTTCAGGATAGCCGGTACTTGTTTAAGAACACTAAAACAACATCTGCAAGCCAGTCTGCCACCCATACTTCCCAGGAATTCCAACTGGCCTTGTCTCCTTCCTACCCAACTCGTGGCCAGTTTGACTGAACTGACCAAGGGTATCAGGGCTGGAAGGGCCTGCAGGCACCACATACTGTCTTCACTGGAGTCTTCCCTTGGCCAAATGGCCACTGAGAGAAGTTTGACTCCAGTAGCCCAGCATTCCCTTTCTCCCCACACCCCTTCACACAAAGCTCCTCTTGCCCTTGAATCTCCAGTGATTTCTTTCTGTAGCACTGCCACTCCCACCAACTCATTACTAAAACCCATTCTTAGTAAAGGCTTTGTCGTCAGTCATTTACACATGTGTATGAATAAGCATCAAATCAATAGTTTACCTTTTCTCGCATTTTAACTCTGAGCTTTTTCGGTGAAACAAAAGGCTCTGTCCTGCCTCCTCCCCACTATGCCCAAAAGGTACTTCTGGTGACAGAGAGCAAATGGCATTCTCTGAAATGCAACAAATGTCCACAATCTTATCTGAAACCCTCACCCAGCCAGCCACACTGCTTTGCCAGTGCATTTTTTCTCAAGTCTAACTTCAGTGACCTTGGCTGACATTCAATCATTACCCTCTCCACTGGCAGGGAAGTTTCTTGCATTCTTTCATCCATTTATTCACTCAATAAACTTTTCTTGAGTATCTGCCATATCTTAGACACTTGGGTATGCCAAAACAACCTGGGCCCTGCCCTCAAGCAGCTTGCAGTTGGATTTTAATGCTGGAAACATCAACTTCACCACCAGATTTTTAACACAAGCAAAGCCTAGCCCAATGGCTGGTATACAGTAGGTATTTAATAAACGCTGCTTCCCCTTCTCAGGGCTGCACTATATGAACACTATGGTGGAACACTGGAAATTTCCTAAAAACCCTTTCCAGGTGGACAAGAGTGCCAGCAGGAATGGGTGGAGATGATGGTTTCTATCTTGCTTCAGAATATCGTGAATTGTTTTGGATGTTCCAAATGTCAGGTTGGAGATGCATGCAAAGGAGAGGGGCTTATTCTAACCAGATCAGGGCTAGAGGCAGCCCAGGACACTGTCTCCATGGTGCACAGCCCCAGACAGTTTGGAAACAAACAGAAACCCATCCAGAGGGGGAGACTGACAAAAGCAAAAACAAAGGCCAAGAGCTGGAAAACTCATGAGGTGGGGCAGAGTGGAGAGGAGGGGGGTGGGCAGAGGGATGGGTTGGGCTGTGGAGGGGGTTTAGGGAGGGGCATGGCCTTGGGTCTTTTGTGAGGAGCTGAATGCAGCACCACCCAGCCCTAAGAATCACCATGGCAACAGGCAGGGTGATTGCGCTGACTGCAAGCCAACACAAACCTCCTGGGTTTAGCAGCGAGTTGGGCTCAGATGCATGGAGCCACTTTCTAAAGAAAACATCTGAATTGGGCTCTTTAAATCACAAACTGCCCACCCACTCCTTGTTTTGCAGGCCATCAGTGTCTAATGAAATGAATTAATCAGAAACGATGGTGCACCACATCCCTACTCATCTCCCTCACACGTACACATGTATGCTTATCCCAAAGTCCACAGAGTAAAACCCTTTCCCTTTGTGGTGGAAGCTGACAGCTCAGGGAATTCTTGGCACTTCCCAGAAGCAGATACCTAACCTTGGGAGTCCACTGGCCACCTCTCCCAAAACTGTCCCCCTGACAGTGGCATTGGTGACAGAGGGCGGATGAGTTGCTTTCGCAAGACCAAGGCAGCTGGGACTCCGATGTGAAGTGGCTCCAGCTGAACCACATCTAGTCTCGTCTGCCATCAGCTGCTGGCGAAGCTCTTGGCCCAGAGGGGTTTGTCAGCAAGGAGCCTGCTTCTTCCTCCTCCGTGAAAAAGTCTCTGCAGCAGGAGCCCCCTGAGCTCTCAATCTCCAGCACCCAAATTTGCCCCTTCCTGGAGCTGGTTGGCCGTGGGGTCTGCCATAGATGTTGGGTTGGTGCTAAACAGAACTGGGAGTCTCTAGGGTGTGTCTCCTTCCTGCCTCTCCATTCCCAGGTACCCAGAGATCTCACACTAACCCCCATCACCCTAGTGCAGGGCTGACTCATCCATTAGGCACAGGGCTTAAAGTCCACATTACAAAAATGTCTTAATTTCCTTTATAATCAGAAGAAAAATAAGTGAGCTTTTAAGTGGAAGAAAATATTTCAGTATAATATATTCATCTTTATACCCACGCAGTCATAAAATATAATTTTAAACATTTTTTTATTGAGGAAGGGGCCCAGAAGGGCAAAGGTGCCAGGGCCTACGAAAGCCATGATGTGGCCCTGCCCTAGTCTTCCCTCCTGCCCGTGCTAACCCTCTAGACTCCAAAGATTTCCTTTCCCTCTATCAAAATGTACCTGAACGATAGCCCCCCACTGGCCTGGGAGCTCCTGGAGGACAGGACCATTCTCCATCCATCCTCATGTCCCCACCATAAGCTCAGTGCCTGCCCCACAGTCACATGAGCTATCGTGTTCCCTCTTTTGGCAGAGGGCCCAGGAAGAAACCTCAGGAAAAAAGGGCTAGGTTTTAAATAAATGTTGCCTGAGAAGACCTGGAAACTGTGCAGATTTCCCATCTGTGCGGTAGGACTTAGTCCACACGCCCTGTGCTGAGCTCTACTGACACTCCTCCCACCAAGTTCACCAATGATCTCCAACGTGTAAATCCAAGAGGGACTGCCCAGGCAGAGTCCTGACTGCACAGCGCATCCGACACTGCTCATCAAGACGTCCTTTCTGGCTTCCATGACACTTTTTCCTCCAATCTCCCTGGACAGTGCTGCTCTGTCTTCTTTGCATGCTCATCTTCTCTGCTGGGCCATTAAAAACAAAGAATAATGATACTAATAATAATAGCAGGTGAAACATATCGGCTACTTGCTCTGTGCTGGGCACTGTTGTGTCATTTCTTTTAATTCTCAAAATAATCCTAAATCTACTTTCCAACCACTAGTGAGAGTGATTTTTCTGAAAACTCAATCTGATATCACTTCCTTGAGTCAAACCTGCTAAAGGCTTTCCCTGGCCCACAGTTTTTAAGGTCTTTTGGGATCTGACCCCTGCCCACCTCTCCAGCCCTCTCCTTCCCTACCCCATCCCCTACAATGTTTCTCACCATAACCTCTTCCTTTGTGACCCTCCTGCCTTGAGTTTCTCCAGGGAGAACTCTAGGTCTTTGCATGTGCTGTTCCCACTGCCTGAAACACTCTTCCTCCACTTTTTGGCCCAACACCAATGGCTCTTTCAGGGTTCAGCTGAACATCACCTTTTCCAGGAGCCCAGGAGGGCTGTATAGCATGGTGGTTAGGAAACCAATCTGCCAGGTTCAAATCCCAACTGTGCCACTTCCTAGCCATATAACCTTGGGCAAACTATTCAACTCACTAGGACTTCAATTTCTTACGTCATGAGGATTAAAGAAACCAGTACATGCAAGGTGCCTACATGTGTTACTTCCATATTTCCTGACCTTAGACCTTGTTAAGACTCCTTGCCAAGTATTTTCCAAAACTCCTTTATAATATCACATGATGCCAACCTCACTCCTGAGGATGTCTGTCCATCTGCCCACCTTGCCAGACCGTCAGCTCCGTGAGGGCAGCGGCATTTTGACTTTGGTCCTGCTCCTATTTCTAGTGCCCGGCACACAGGAGGTGCTCATATTTGGTATATCAATGACCAGAAATCCAACACCTACTGGATATCCTCGTGATACATGCTCTCCAGCAAACAGCCACCTCGAACAAGGAAGGAGAGGACAAGATTTTTAGCAACGGCAGACACACACTGAGGTCGAAAGCAGTCACGAAAGCGACTTGGTAATTAGGAAAATACATTTATTATTTCTGAAATGTTCCAACATTCAATGCAAAAACCATGATCGTGGCTTTTTTACAACTTCACAAATTATAGAAAAATGACTTTCCCCCTTCTTTACAGAAATCTCCCTTCCCAGATCAGACAGGGCTCCGTTATGGCTGAAAGGGGGCAGGAAGGAGGGGCAGAGAACACAGCCAGTAGAACAGCCGCTCTCTGGGCAGCCAGAGGCTCTTCCTGCACAGTTAAAGCCCAGGCTGAGTCCTAAAGACCCGACCCCTCTGTGGGAGGCTCGGTCCACGCACATCCGTGGCACACTGAGGCAGGCTTCTGTCTCCAAGGCCGGCTGGCAGCCCACAGACGGCCTACGGCGTGGCGCTTGTGGCTGGCAGGCCACGGTCAAGGCAGCTTCATGAGAACAGGAACAGGAGGCAGACCTGCAGCTTAAACCCCTTTCTCTAAATCATGGCCAGGAGAGAGGCTGTGGACACTGCCCAAGTGGTGCTCTAGGTTTAGAAATTTCCCCTTTTACTCAGCTCACAAAGATGCATTTGTCAAATAGCTATTTTTTTTTAAAAATCAGAAAATAAACATTTGGTTCCATTTCAGCTGTAATCAGCAGTTGGTAATTTTTAGAAAAAGCCAACTTGAGTCGCTCATTGTTAAGTTCATATTTTTCCTCAGGTCTCTGACTCCCTCCTTTCTCATCCGTGGTTGGGCGGGGGGGTGCTACGGCTGTAGCAGGAGGCTGTTTGTTGACTTAAGAAAACCGTGAAAATGTTTTGCACTCACATACAAAGGCTGATGGAATTCAAAAACGATCCCACCGATTTTTATGAGAAACATGACTGCTCCTCTTGGGTGTCTCAAGTCAAAACAAGGCAATCGTCAGTGATTTATAGTCCCCACTACACATTTTCCGCCTTCCAGAAAGCATTAGAGAAAGGGCCAACATCTGCCAGGAGCGATTGTAAACACAGCACTGACGGCCTGGACACTTTGTTTTTAAATGCAGCAGGACTTTTTCCTTTGGCCCTGGCAGAAAAGCCAACTCCTTAGGACCGTTTAGGGAGGAGCAGACAGGAGGGCGCCCCCAAAACCTAAAAGTGAGAGACCAGGGGTCTCTGTTGACCGGAGTGTGGCCAGGAGCATCATCAAAGGCAATCGATACATTATGGCATGTGAAAATTGTCCTGTGGTCCCCAACTGGCCCCCAGGTTCAACCTGGCTGGATGTGGGGCACAGGAGGTACAGAACAAGTTATCATAAGGCACATGGTCGAGGTGGCCCCCACACCGGGCCCAGAAAGACCCCTATCTCTTCACACGATTCCAAAAGTGTTGGAAAGCTGAGGAGTTGATGACACTCACTAGGAGCAGCAGCAGCAGATACAGGGATATCATGACTGTAAACCAATGGCTGGAAACCCAGGAGAGCTGGCTTGAAGCTCTGCTTAAGGGGGAAAAAAGAATGACATTAGCAAAAAAGAGAAAAACATTTTTTTAAAGTATATGCAACAACTTCTGGCTCAAAGAAGATGAAATGATGAATTTCATCCTCTGAGCGAGCCATGAAATGAAGCTTCGTGCGTGCTCCTTTGCTTAAAAAATCTGGGGCTGTTTGCTCTGGCACCGACATGCCTTTCACCAGAACATTTTCTAAATGTAAAAAGACAGCTATGCAATGAGCTCATCCTGATCCTCTCTTTTACAGCTCCTCATGCACCTTTTATAACCCATCTTTTCTTAAGTAGGATTTTGGTATCTAGAAGAATGACCTTGCTTAAGGTGTCTATCCAGATGGCAGCAGGTGGCGGGTTATTTAGCAGAAGTCGTTTCAGTTTTAGACATGCACACATAGCAATCTGAGCGGGGGAAATCCTCTTAGTCCGCTGAGAGATGATCTAAACCGTCCAAGTGTGCACGAAAGAGACACTCCAGGGAGAAGTGGGAAGGAACGGAATTTTCAAGTAGAAAAAGCCAGATGATTTTAAACCAAAGGATAATGTTCCCCAGACTCAGGAACCCTACTTCCCAAATTTTGGGGCGAAGGGGTAGATTTTACCAGTTTATGAAATCCTAAGTGTGGAACCCACTGGTATGTACAAGCAGAAGTGGGGAGTATTAAAGTGGCCCCCTTTCCTGTCTTATGTGCTGCTCACCCCCAGGAGAAGCTCTACCATGAGCCCCAACAATGATAAGATCTCAAAGTGACCCCCAGCCCTGGAGAACCCTGCAGACAACCCCCACATCCACTCCGCTGAGATGGGAGGAGGCATCCACCCTGGCTCTTAGGAGCCCAAAGGCCTTGTCGGCTGTTGGTTTTAACACCCTCATTTTAGAGATAAAGATGAAGCATCTCTGCTCCCGAGAGGGGCAGGCAGTGGTTCAGCAAACGCTGTGGGAAGTGACAGAGCTGGGTGGCACACAATTCCAGCCTCTGAGCTTAACCTAATCAGTGGCTTTCAGACTGCAGTCTGGAGCCTTGGTGGCTAAGGGGCCTCACGGTCTAAAGCAGCCAATCTGGCTTCAGTCAGTCCCTCGTGTTATTTGTGTTTACGAATCTCTATCTTCTTTGCTAGAGTACACAGTCCTCTTAGGGCCAGGACTACATCTTATTGGACCTCTATTCCTCCCCTCACAGTGTCTAGCATAGTGCTTTATATACCTGATACACAGCCGAGGTCTAAGGCTGGAGGAAAGGGGGTGCTATACTAAGAACCCAGTACTGTGCAGCCTTGAGTGGTTCTCCTGGGCCTCACATGGGGACCGTCCTTCTCACCTCTTGGGCTGCTTCTGCGAGTACACCAGCAGGTACTTCACACGCAGGAGCTGGTTATTGGTGACCACAAAGTACTTTGGAGGGATGTCTCCCCCTTCACTGTGCTTGATTCTCGCTCTCCTGCGGTCTAGCTCCTTGGAATCTGAATGAGGAGAGTAGAGGGTGGGGGAAATACAATAATAAAAGCAGCAAATTATGAATAGAAACAGGTCAAGCCTCCTGGTCTTTAGGGTGGAGAAGCCCCACCAGGCTGAGGAATGGCCTGTTTGTGTATGTGAGGCAGCACTAAAAAAACAGGAGAAGCCAACAGACAGACAAACAGGAGGTGGAAAAAATGAATAGGAAAATAAGAGGGATACAAGGGGAAAAAACCGAGTGGGGAAAGCAGAGGTAAGCAGCAGATTGATGGCCATAACAAAACAAGAATCTGGGACCGGGAACTGGGAACAGGACTGGATGGGAAACAAGTCTCTTAGCAGGCATTCTAGATGAACCATTCTGGATTCGAGCTTTGTAGAACACTTATCTTCTACCCTTTGTACCAAGACTCGTTTAAAAAACAAAAACTTTTAATAACACGAAAAAGCTTTACAAAAAAAAAGCTGCGTGCCAGCAGGTGTTGCAAGGTTTTGTTTTGATGTCTAATGTCACGGTTTGCAAACTTCCTAACAATTATAAATGCAAATATTCACGCTGTCTGGTTTGAGAGGGTGGCGTCAGGCCTGGGCCGGTTCCTCGGGATTCCAGTTGTTTTATATTAGAGGCCAAGAACAGACAGTGTTCTTAATTCTCCTTGTCCCTGTGGAACCAACAGGCCAGTTCTGGAGACGAGAATGACAGTTCTGTGACTCTTCTGTCTCCAAAGGCAAAACCGCAGGGGGCAGAGAGCAAAGAATCTAAGGAACCTCAGAGGAGTGGACTGAGGCGGCCAGCTAGTCATTGACTCCCGGGAGAGCCTGGGGTTTACTCCCCACGGGGGCCTGAGTTGCCCCTCACAGCCTCTGGGGGCCCCGGAACACACCAGAGTAGCCTGGAGGGACAGGATCTGGATACACATCTTTAGCTTCAGTTTAGTAAATATTTATTGAATGTCAAGTACGTACCAGGCTCGCTGCTGACATTAGGCACCCAAGAGTGAATGAGACCCAGTTCCCGGCACTCCCTACCCAGCACCTTGTAGTAAGTGAGATCTTTTCCATCGTGTGTTCAACCCCTAAGGAGACTGCTCACCCCTTGAAGGCAGTCCCTGTCATACGTTGGTTTGGACCCAGCCCAGCTTTTGGTATGCAATGGGCACCCCACTGAACAGCTGGGCCAACGGCAAGAGTATGCACAGCCCAGGTCTGGGCCAAGTGCTCACTCACCCTTCTTCTTTGTTTGGCATTTGACATCTGGATGGTCAATGACCTCACACACGGCCACACAGCTGAGGATGGGGCCAAGGAGGCTGCGCTGCCACCCATGGCCGTGGGGGCTATAAATGAGGGCCAGGCTCAAGTCACTGGTGAGGTAGGTCCCTTCCCCGAACAAGGATGTCTGGAATGGCAGAGGTCAAGTGAAAACAGACAGGGCCTGTGAATGCAGGGTTGGCACAGCAAGACAACACAGATCTTTCTTCAACAGAGTTGTATAAAGAAAATTTTCCAGTCTCTTTTTTTCCCCAGCAAAAGGTACAAGGCCACATAATATTATCACATCATCCTAGGGTTATTACTAACCACATTCCTATCTGATGGCAGTTTAATTGATTGTGGATGTGGCTAACTAGCCTGGCAAACTTGTAGTTCCTGCGGTCAAGGGTGAGTCAGAAAACCATAGGTATAAGAGTCCCAACAGACCTGAGTTTGAATCCTGCCTATTCCTCCAACAAGCTGGCAAGTTATCTAAACTCTCTGGGTCTTAGTTTCTACATGCGAAAAATGGTGATACGAGTATCTCCTTCAGAAGGTCGTGGATGAAGATTCGATGAGAGAATGTGCAGAAAGCATCTAGCAGGACACCTGGCACATGAGAGGGGTGGACACTCCATCACAGGCTCTTATGTCATAGCATATGTGGTAATTCCTGTTATATGAATGTGTTAAACATGGTTACACTGATGGGCTTGCAGAAGCAAAGTCACACCTTTATATACAGGGAGGGAGGTCACACCTGAGAGGGGAAGTAATCTGAGTCATTTCTTTTTTTTTTAAAGATTGGCACCTGAGCTAACAACTGTTGCCAATCTTTTTTTTTTTTCTGCTTTTTCTCCCCAAATCCCCCCAGTACATAGTTGTATATTTTAGTTGTGGGTCTTCTAGTTGTGGCATGTGGGACGCCACCTCAGCATGGCCTAATGAGCAGCGCCACATCTGTGTCCAGGATCTGAACCAGTGAAATCCTGAGCTGCCGAAGTGGAGAACCCGAACTTAACCACTCGGCCATGAGGCCCACCCCTGAGTCATAGGAAAGAAATGAATCTCCCAGACCAGAAACTATAACCCAAACAGGAAGGCCTCTATGAGGGGCAAGGTAAGTTTTACTCTGTGTTGGTGTTGACCAAGAAAATGTCCAAAACTCTGGGAGGCAGTTCCCTGGTGGCAGGTGCTAACTTGGTGCCCTCCGTTAGGAAGTATGCCAGATGACAGAGAAGAATCTCAGGTGCAATACCTGCAGGCTGAGGCTTTGGCAGGCATAGCAAACACATCCTTTGCCCATGGTAAACATCAATAATCAACCATGATGGCCAACACAAAAATATCAATCATGGCATTCATTCACACTGACTCAGAATCCTTCTTAACATTCCAGGTAGCTGCTACCAATGAATGGAATTTGACATTCAAGTTGAAATTCAATTGCTATTCTTGGGCCACAGTATCAGTATCTAAGAGATGAGCGGACTTAGCTCACTGAATATCCTATGCTTGGAAATTGAGAAATAAGCTACTTAGTTGCACCAGGCTTCCACAATTCTAGTTGGTTAAGTGAAGCTTAGGGGAAATGAAACAAGCCTTTGCTTGGTCTTTGGGAAGCCCCTTGCCAGGTTAGGCAGTGTCCTCATCTCTCAAAAGCTGACAGAGACGTTTTCCAAGGACGCTGGGTGTCCTCTGACGCCCACATCCATTTTCCACTTATGCCTGCCACGTATATACCCTTCCCTAGGCTCGAGAGCCTTGTGCAAGGATGCCATGAACAGAGGTGCACAAGAGTGGGAAACTTGGGGTATCTCTACCACAAAAACAGTCTCACAGCTTCAAGTGGCAGGTGGGCTCCCTCAAACAAGCCCCTCACTGAAAACTCAGACAGAGGAGGCCAGAAGAGCATCCCCTTTACCAAAGGACTCTTGTGAGATGCTTCTAAGCAGCAAACCGCTGGGGCAGTGAAGTAAGGGTTTGGTGTACAAGACTGCAGTCCGCAGGCAACTTCTCCAGGCTGGCTCCGGTGTGAAGCGGAGGCCCCTGGATTCCAGTAGCCTGGCCATAATAGTAAGTTGAGAGCCAGTGTAAACAAGCCGGTCATCCTCAGCAAAAACCAACTGCACTAATCAGACGCAGCAGCGTTGGGAAAGTCTTCCTAGCCTTCGGGCTGCATCAGCCACAGCTGAGCCCGTGGCTCATGGAGCCAGCCCCTCAGACAAGGCAGATGCTGCCAGGCCTGGGGAAAGGCTGCAGCCCCCTAACTCCACCAGATTCCCTCTCCATCAGCCTATAAAAGCAGCTACTGTGGCCTTGGTGCCTAAAACAGGAAGAGCCCTTTGCATCCATGAACTGGTTCAATCATCTCAGCACACCAGCAGGTGGGTAATGGCGTCTTATTTACGGATGAGAACACTGAGGCTCAGAGAGGCTACGTAAATTTGCCCAGGGCCACAGAGCTGCCAAGGTGGTCTTTTTGGCTCCTGTCTATACTCTTTCTCTTACACCTCACTGAGAGACAAAATAAGTGCCAGCTGTTGACTCTAAAAAATGGTAGGAATGAAGCTCAAGGATGGAAGGAAAGGACCGCTCCTCAGCACAAGTCTCAATTTCTCTAAGGGCCAACTCTGTTGGAGTGTCCCCTAGGGAACTGTTTCTTAAATGTCAACGTGCACATGAATCACCCGGGGAGCTTGTTAAAGTGTGTTTTCTGAGGAGGTGGTCTGGGATGGGCCTGAGGCTCCACATTTCCAACACGCTCCCAGGTGATGCAGATGCCACTGGCCCAAGGACCACGCTGAGTAATGAGGGTTGCCACACCTGGGATCACCTGGTGAGCTTTTAAAGCATGCTGCTGCCTGGGCCACTTCCAGAGACTCTTGTTTAATTGGTCTGGGATGCAGCTGGGCATTCGGATTTTTAAAGCTCCCCAAGTGATTCCGAATGTGCAGCCAAGGTTGGGAACCATCTTTAAATCCATGCTTCTCAAAGTGTAATCAGCATAGGAATCTCCTGGAGGTTTTGCTAAAATGCAGGTTCTGATGCAGAAGGTCTAGGGTGGGCCCAGGATCCTGCATTTTCACAGGCTCCCAGGGGCTGCTGCTGCTGGGGCTGGTCAGCAGACCGCACTTTGAGTGGTAAGGCCTTAGTGAAATGACCCCCCAACCCCCACCAGCAAACTCCCCAGGGTTCTGACCCCCCCCATGTCAGCAGGCTTAGGCCCCACCTTGTTCAGGTGGCAATGCAGGCCATTGTGGATGATGGAATGGAAGTTTTCTAGGCGGCTCCCGTGGAAGGCGTAGATTAGGTCTCGTTCTCCTTTGGTCTCGTAAAATTTGGCGTTCGCTGGGTCGGAGTACTCGATTTCAAACAGGAAGTCCGGCACGGGGACAGGCATGTGAGAGGTACCAGTCAGCTTTTGGATCTTTTCAAACTTGAAAACATGTAGGGAGTCGCAATTTTATTTGGGAAGCTGGTAAAATATGCTACGAAAATGGCCTCCTAAAGCATTGAGTTTAACTCCTAGGGGATCTGCTCATGAGGAAAACTGGTTTCATGAGAATAAAGTCATCAATTTGTAAACAGGCTCAGAGCTTCTAGCTCAAGACTGCTTCCCTCTAATAACCTTTTCCCTACAGTAGGCTAACTGAGAAGCATGAATTGCTCCTTCTAACTAAAGATCACTTCTAATTTTCATACCACTTTCACATCTATTTCCTGTATTCCATCTTTACAATAATCTCGGGGGTAGAAAGGTGTGATCAATTGCAAAAATGGCCACAGACTTTTCCTCCCATGCCCCTTGAATCTGGGCTTGGCCGTGTGACTTACCTTCATCAATGGGACTTTAGTAAATATATGGCAAACAGACACTTGAAAAGGGCTTGCCCTTCCTTGTCTGCTGCTGGGAACACTTCCCTCTTCACTGCCATGTGAGCAAGCCCTGCTAGTCTTCAATAGGATGAAAACCTCATGGAGGAAGGCCCCAACTACAGCAGCCATCCCAGCTGAAGCCCCAAACATGTGAGGCCACCCTAGATCATCCAGCCCCAGGCAAGCCAGCCCCAGCCAGAAGAACCACCCAAGCAACCCATGGAATTGTGAAAAGCAATCAATGGTGTTTTAAGCCACTACGTTTGGGGGATAGTTTGTTATGCACCAAAAGCTGATTGATACAGAAAGGTGAGCTCCTTACTAAAGGGCAACAATCCTCTTCAGGACAGAGACCACATCATTTCAGCGATTTCCAAACAGTAAGTCACAGATTAAAGCCAGTCTATCATGAAGTTTTCTCTGGGTTATGATTAAAGGAGAAGAATAAGGGCAATAGAACAGATACGTTAATACTGACGTAAGGTTGCCACAAGCCTTTCTTTGGAAGAACTCTCCTTTATTCTGAGATCAGGACTATCCTCCTTTTTTGTGTGAAAACATCCTCTTATAAAATGATGATACATGGTGGGCTAATGTCCTTACTTGGGCACAATAAAAAGCTGATAATCCTGGGTGCCAAGACTCCATGTTTTAATGGAATTTAACTGGTTAATAATCAAAAGTCAAGGAGCCAAAAAAATAAAATAAAATAAAAAAAAAGTCAAGGAGCCATTGCCTTATCTACTTTATCTAGTAGGCACTTGATGCCCATATGAGGTATGAATGAATGAATGAATCTCAATTTAACAGATGACAAAAGTGAAACCCAGAGATCACCCAGGAGTGAGCGGCCCAGCCTCGACCTGAGTACGGGTCTCCTAACTCCCACTCCACAGCTCTTTGTTATTTTACCATCCAACACAGACGGCTGTCCCTACACCCCAGAATCCCAGATACCAAATTCTACACCACCTAAGGAGGACTTCTGTCTTTAGCAGGAGACCGTAAAATTGAATGCTCTTGAATTAAAATTGATTAATTAAGTGGAGAACAGTACAGATGCCACTCAGAGGAGAGAGCACCAGACCAGCGATCTGCCAGTCCTACCCTCTGGTCCTTGTCATGCCAGCCTGTCCCTGGAAGATCCCAGCCAGGCAAGGGAAACCAAATTATGGAGTGTCTGGTCTGTGCCAGAAACCGTATTGGGGGTGACATTCTATCACAGCTCCCTTCTCAGGTAACTATTAATATTCTCAATTTACAAATGGGGAAAAGGCGATTCAGTAATGGATGGAAGTAGGAATCGAACCCAGAGCCTAAGGTTTTCCACTATTTCGGGTTCTACCTCTGTTTCCTGATGACTGGACTAGGCCAGAGTTTCTTAAGGTATGGTCAAGGGTCCACTCTTATGGGAATTACCTGGGGTGCTTGTGACACCCAAGATTTACTGAGCCCTGAGGCATTGTTCTAAGTGCAAACATTCATTCAATTCTCACACCCAGTTCCCTGATGGAAGCATAATTATCATCCCCACTTTACAGATGAGGAAACCGAGGTACTGAAATGTACCCAGTCACCTGCTCAAGGTCATGCAGCTAGGAAGAGGGAGAAGGCAGCTTTGCACTGCCAGTGTGCAAATTCCCGGGCCGCACTCCAGACACAGAATCAGAATCTCTGGGGTCTGGGAGTCTGCACTTTCAGCAAGCTGCCCTGGTTATTCTGGTGCACAAGGAGGTCCCAGAGCCCTTCAGCCCTAGGAATCTGTGATCCTGCAGACCAAAGGCTCACCTCCGACTTCCCTGCACTGTGGATTGTCAGGACCTTTGAGGATAAAATCCAGCTCACCAGGTCCCAGGCCCGTTTCTCTCTGTCTCCAGAGGACTGGAGAAGTTCTTTCAGGTTGGGTAACTTGCTGGCATCTGCAAGCTGAAGTGAGGAAAAACCTCCATTAGCAAGGATCCTGGACAAAATGATAACCAGGGGCCCTCTAGTGGTAAGGCAGGCGACTTGCATGTCTTTCATGACATTTCCTGAGAAACGCACAGGTCAACAATCCCCTTTCCAAATACTCCTCAATGCCAAAAGCTCCCAACACTGAAAGGCTGTTTTGTAGCTCATCTGGCACAAAACCCGACCTGAGCTGATGTGAGGTTCATTTAACCTTTATTTCTCCCACTTTGTGTTACTATCGGTGCACTTCGTTGTAGGAATATGAATGTCTGACTCAGGGCTCACTCGATGAAGGTGTCAGAAAACACACAGAACATGCACGTGTGGGTAAAGGGTTAACAAAGCTTTGTCCCTTCAGCACGAGAAAACGACCTTCATTAACCTGTTAACTGCTCCCCTAGAGACGGGATAAGGCAGCAAGGCAACTACATACATAACAGGCCACACTTATGGGACAAACGACCCAGAATGGAAAACTGCATGTGGACTAGAAGAAGCTATGAGTGGGGAGCCAGCTGCTAATTTGGGGTTTCCTGAGTGTGGTGACTTTTTGTGAGGACTCTGGCAGCCATGCCTATGGCATTTTTACAAGAGACACCTGCCTTGCAAGAGAGAACATGGGGCTTCATTAGGCCAGAGAAACGCCTGCACCCGCCTGACGGGAATCTCATCTCCTCACAGCTGAGCTGTCACTTTTGGGGGGCAAAGACTAGCTCCGGGACCTCTGCTGGACTGTGCAAGGACTTCCCCAGAAATGAAACACCAGACCCCGCCCTGCTGTGCATGTGATCTGTCCGAGAGCGTTCCCAACTGGTTCCCGGTGTGGCCTGAGACAGGCGTCTGAGTCGGTCACTTGGTCGTGTCCTTGGAGCATATTATTACTTTCATAAAGTCAGGCAGAATCTGAATTCTGAAACATACTTGGTGCCAGGATTTCTGATAAGAGACTGGGGACCTGGGCTAACAGATAGCTACTAGGTATCTGTAGTTTGTGCTCAGAAGTTATCACTGACTAGAAACCAAATCTCTCCAGGATGGCACTTAAGACACTGCAGACTGGCGTCGTCTGTGAATATGCCTTGGGTTGTACCACCTCCAAGCTTTGCTCACAGTCCCCTGGAATGCCCCTTCCTCCACCTCTACGAAACCAGGCACCCTTCTCTCTTAACCTCTAAAAGACTCAGCCCCTGTACTCTCTCCTCAGATGGCCAGGACGCCTGGAGGCCAAAGACTGCCTTGTGTGTTTTTAATTCTCCTCATTCCTGGATGTAGTGGACAGAGCAGACAGATATTAATTTGAATCCTGCTCCTGAGGCAAGGCACTGGACCTGGTCCACTATCTCCACATTGGGTTGTTGGGAAGATTAAAGGTAGTAGAATCTCAGAGCCTGGTAGAGCCTGGTCTATACATGTCCATTATCTTTTTTTTTTTTTTTTTTGAGGAAGATTAGCTGTGAGCTAAAATCAGCCACCAATACTCCCCTTTTTGCTGAGGAAGACTGGCCCTGAGCTAACATCCGTGCCCATCTTCCTCTACTTTATATGTGGGATGCCTGCCAAGGCATGGCTTGACAAGTGGTGTGTAGGTCCGCACCAGGGATCCGAACCGGAACGTGAAAACTTAACTGCTGCGCCACCAGGCCAGCCCCTATACATGTCCATTTCTTCTCTTGCTTATAGTTCTCCCTGGACAACACAGACACACACCCCCTTTGCTAGGGATGCACTTGGTACTTTATGAATACTAGTGGGTTTTTTTCCATTTCTCTAGAAAGTTGACTGTTGCTGACCTTGGGGGTTTCATTTCTCAACTCTGTAGTTGAAAATCAGAAAAATTTCAGGACCACTTTATTCCTGTCTCTATTTCCAAAGATTCAATCAGTAGCCTCAGACTTCTAATAAAACTATCTCTAGGGGCTGGCCCGTGGCCGAGTGGTTAAGTTCGCGCGCTCCGCTGCAGGCGGCCCAGTGTTTCATTGGTTCAAATCCTGGGCGCGGACATGGCACTGCTCATCAAACCACGCTGAGGCAGCATCCCACATGCCACAACTAGAAGAACCCACAACGAAGAATATACAACTATGTACTGGGGGGCTTTGGGGAGAAAAAGGAAAAATAAAATCTTTAAAAAAAACCAAAACTATCTCTACATGCCTCATGGAGCATCAGTGAGGATCCAATTTAAAAAAAACACGGACGTGTGGATGTGCAAATGCTCCATAAGTGTTGGTGCTACACGGCGGGGAGGCAGAAAGGTAAATAATTATGATTTAAACCTATTCATTGTCACAACAAAGATGGATACAAACTACTAAGGGGAAATTCGGGACTCCTGTTGGTTAGGGGCTGGGGGACGGGCTTGGTCAGGACCTGGCAGAGGAGGTGCTGTGTGACCTGGGTTTGACATGCAAAGGCACAGAAGCATGAAAGTGCGGCGTGTAGTCAAAGAAGTGGGTGGTGACGTGGTTGATCTCCTCCTAGGCAGCCTGGGCCCAGACCTGGGCTCACATCCCCCAGTCACGGTGTGACCCGGGTGGGTTGTATGACCTCCTGTGTCTCAGTTTGCTCAAATACATAACTGGGGTCATATGAGCAGCCACTTCACGGGATCCCTGCGCAGGTTAATTAAGTCACACAGTCCAGAGCTTACAGCACCAGCAAGGCACTAAGTCCTGTACTGCAGTGTTAGTGCAACGCCGCAATTGTTGTCGTCATTAACTGCAGGTCGTTCTGTGACACCAGAGTCTAGAGTGTAGGGGAGCGGTTGCCAGGAGCAGGAGTGCAAAGGCGACTTGAGATCAGCCTGTGAAGGGCCTTGTACCTGCCTTGGGGACGCTGGGCTTTCTTCTGTGGGCAGCATAAGGGAGCCACTGTGGGCACCTGAAGATGCGTTCCAAACGGTTTACCCTCAGGGGGCCGCCCGCATGGCCTGAAGTGTAGTCCAAACTACACGCCCAGCATTCTGCGGCTCATCTTGGCCTCCCCTTTCCTTCTTTTCTACTCCTGGTCCACACCTGTCATCCCAGAACCGGAGCTGCATCTTCTCTCCCATGATTACTGTTCCCATGACTCCTGTTCTCAAATCTACCTGTGAGCAGCCACGCTTGCCAGCAGTCCAGACCTGGGCACAGGGAGCCCCACAAGAGGCCAGTCAGCTAAGCCAGTTCCCTTTCAGGGGCTCAGTCTGGGGAAGTGGGAGAGACCCCTCCCAGATCCGAGCCGGACCCCAGCTCTCGCCTGGGCTGCCTTGGGGCCAGCCCTCTTCCAGGGCTCGGGCCCTCCCACTGCTGCCTGACCTCGCAGAGCCCCTGGGTGTCCTGCCGGGCTGCCCTCTTTGTCCCTACTTTTTAACCCCTCAACTGACCTCCTGTATGTCCCATTTCACTTTTCAAGCTACTCTGAAAAATAAATCTGCTCCAAGTTAATAGGATTCTTCCTCTTGTGACCAAAATCTGTCTGCATTTTAGGAGGGCCTTTTGGGGACCAGACATACAAGTTGGGTTGCCAGATAAAATGCAGTCTGCCCAGTTAAATTTTAATTTCGCATAAACAAACAAAATAAATGTTTTTAGTATAAGTATAACCCAAGCAAGATTTGGGGCATACTTTAAAAATTATTTGTTGCTTATTGGAAATTCAAATTTAACTAAGTGGCCTATATTTTTATTTGCTAAATCTAGCTACCCTCCCTTAACAAGGCCCTTCAGAATCTGGTTTGGCTCCTCCCACAGCACCTCCTGCCACAAACTTCCCATTGGTTCCCCCCATGCTGTTCCTCAACTGCACCATTCTCTCCTCCTCTGTGCTTCTGCAGCTGCCAGGCATGACATTCCACTCAGTCTTCAAGGCCAGCCTAAAGTCACCTCCCCTGTCCCTGACACACCACCACCTCTGTGCTCCTCTGTGCTCTAGGCAGAATCCCATGTTGATACTTCACTCTCTGGGGCCACCTCAGATGCAGTTGGGACAAACACTTCCTGAGGGCCAACCACATCTTATGAATCCTGGAGCCCCAGCAGCCAGCCTAGAACCTGGCCTGAAGTTCAGAACGAGGCAGTAACTACCATTTATTGAGGCCTGATCACGTGCCACACACTGGGCTCAATGCTGTGCACGCGTCATCTCGTTTTATCCTCACAACAGCACATTTTAAAGGGGAGGAAACTGAGGCTTGGGGAGGTTAAGCACCTTGCCTAGGGTCGCACAGCTATTCAGTGGCAGGGACATGCAGCCAGGTGGGCGGACTCCAGAGTCCATTCTCTGTGATTCTTTCCTATCAAATCAATGAAGAAATTTATAATGGGATAAATATTTTAACCCAAGAAGCAATTCTAGCAGAACTTTAAGAGGCTGCTGGGGAAGCTTCAGGTATGTTTCTGGAGTCTCCTATCCCAGAATAATATATACAACCAATATATACAACCAAGAGAGCTACTGGCTGTGCCTAAGCCCTGTCAAAGGAGGGGAGAGAGATGCACGTAACACTTAGTATGGACTAGGGTCAGGAGACAGAAAACCTCCATCTAGACAAGTTATGAACCACGGTTCATGACAGCGGAAGGCACTTACCAGCAACTGAAGAAGCGTTCAGGAGGAAGGCAGGCATTTCTGGGGTTGGCGGTGGGGGGAAGCAGAGGGAAAGGTTTACAGAACAGGTAGGATGGAGTGGGACCTGGAGTGATGAGGAGGACTTTAAGAGGCAGAGAAAGCACTCTCAGTGGGAAAGAGCATGGCGGAGGAGCAGAGAAGTGAACAGTGCCTGTTCTAAAAGGTGGTCCCAGGCTCAAATGCCCCCAGGGCCAGAGAGGGGAGAAAAATGAGTAAGCGGGGAGTCAAGGAAAGAGTGGTAAGGACTGTGTTGAACTGGAGACCCCAGGCCTAGCAAAGGGCCCAGCCACCAATCCCCCAGTTGCAGATCCAGCTCGTTTCTACCCAAGGGTGACCTCCATCCAGGCTGCAGAGCCTCAGATGTTTTTCTTGTTTTAAAAAGAAATCAGTAAGCCGGGGGTATTTTGGTTTTGTTTTGTTTTTTAATTTCCCAATTTCTAAAAGGCCTGTCAGACCACACTTTTGCAGCCTCCGCTCTGGGGAGCAAGAAAAGATTCAGCCAGAGAAGCGGGTGGGCAGCCTGGGTGAGGCCCGAATGATGGGCAGTGCTGGGCAGCCAAGGGGCTTGAGAAAGAAAGTCTCTGGGAAAGAGGTGGTTTGAGTGACTGAGAGACCAAGGGGGAGGGAACCAGCAGGGGGCAAGCAGAGGACAGAGAGGACCAATGACCCCGGAAGGGGACAACTCAACCTCCTTGCTTTGAGTCAGGAGGTGACAGGACAGCCCAGTGGATAGATTCCAACCACCCAGATCATAATCTCCTGAGGCGGCCGAGGAATTTATGTTTACAGCAGTTGCCACTTGTTGATTCTTATCACCAGGAAAAGATGGGGATATTCAGGCTTAGATATGAAGCACTGTTGTCCTAGAAGGGCTGGCAGCAGGCAAGAGAGAACATCTGAAAGAAGTCCTTGTCTAGGAAGACTCCAGAGGTCACAATTACTAGATGTGGGTGGAGGTGCTAGAAGGAAATGAACCAAAGGTACAGCCAAGATAACCAGCCTCGGGGACCAGACAGAGTGACACCTGAAACAGTGGGGTGGGTGGGATGGGTGGAACCAATGGGCTGCTGAGATGAAGGCAAGAAAGGTGACACCACAGTTACATACAGGTACACCTTGCTGTGCACAAGTCTAAAGGATGGAAATCCAGATTTACTAAAACAGATTGGGGGTGAGAGTCTACTTTACAAGCGTTCTCATCACAAAAAGAGTCATCATGGGGACCTTAGAAAGGAGTGGCCTCCACCCTGGCTACACGCTGGCATCACCTGGTGGTCTGCCACCAGCACATCTACTGATGAGCTGATGATGACAGAGACAGTAATAGAACCTATGTTGCTGAGCCGTTAGGAAGATTAAATGAGTTACATGTAGAGCCGGCTCAGAAGAGTGCCAGGAAGTGCGATTAGAAGTGTAAGTGTTAGGGACCGCATTATTATTATTAATCAAATCTCCCCCTCTACTGCTCCCCAATCTGAGGAGAGGCCTGCATTTCTGGGATGGTTGGGAAGGGAGGAGGTGGCTTGTACTAGAAGGATGATCCCACCCCTGGTCCTCCACATCACCGTCCCACAGGCTGAGATTTTTCTAGCCACATACCCACCAAGAGCCACATTACCTTATATGTATGTCTGTGTCCATATCTTTTTATATCTGTATGCTTCCCCCGCCCCCCTCATTTTTTAGATACCGTCTTTGAGAGCAGGGAAATAAAAAGGCAATCTGAGGGGCTGGCCCCATGGCTGAGTGGTTGAGTTCACGTGCTCAGCTTCAGCGGCCCAGGGTTTTGCCGGCTTGGATCCTGGGCACCGAGGACATGGCACCGCTCGTCAGGCCATGTTGAGGCAGCATCCCACACACCACAACCAGAACGACCTACAGCTGGAATATACAACAATGTACTGGGGGGATTTGGGGAGAAAAAGCAAAAAAAAAGAAGACTGGCAACAGTTGTTAGCTCAGGTGCCAATCTTTAAAAAAAGGTAACCTGAGAGACTATGAATTTTACCTCAAGATATCAAGTATATACCTACATGGACACTTATTGACTAGACTGAATCTAATTGTTATCATTTCCTCACCACCCAGCAGCTGGATGCTCAGGAAAATGATGAATTAATAGGAAAATTTTAAAACTACATATTCTCTGCAAATGAACAAAAATCCCATCGCCCAGGCTCCAACTCAAACCAATTAAATCAAAATCTCTAGAGGGGGCCCAGACATCAGTAGTTCTTAAAGCTCCCCAGGTGATTCCAAGGCAAGCCAAGGTTGAGAGCCTTGTAAATTCGAAGGATCTCTGGGGCTGGCCCTGTGGTGCAGCGGTTAAGTGCACACGTTCCACTTCAGCCGCCCCGGGTTCACCGGTTTAGATCCCGGGTGCAGACATGGCACCACTTGGCAAGCCATGCTGTGGTAGGCGTCCCACATATAAAGTGGAGGAAGGTGGGCATGGATGTTAGCTGAGGGCCAGTCTTCCTCAGCAAAAAGAGGAGGATTGGCAGTAGTTAGCTCAGGGCTAAACTTCCTCAAAAAAGAGAGAAAGAAAAAGAACGATCTCTGTTCTCCCCCAGGAAATGTCAATACCCAATTTCTAATCTGGAAATAAGCATACAAAGCCTTCCTTAGATTTGTTAGACTTCGAGCCAGCAATTTCACCTTTTGGAATTTATCTCAAGAAAATAACTAGAGATATAAACCACAATTAACATAGAAGGATGTTTATCGTAGCATTATTTATAAGAGCAAATTTGTTAAAATGTGAAAGAACCCAGAGGAAGGACTCCTAACTGCTTGGGGAGGGGGCACAGAATAAGATGAAGTTCCAGCCGGGTCTCAAAGGATGAGAAGCGTTTGCCTGGACAAAGAGGGGGATGGCATGGAGAGGGCAGGCACACCCTGGGGTCAGGACAGAGAGATGCTCATTCACGTTTTTAACCCAGACACTGAGAAGTCAGCTTGTCTAGACAGTACAAGCCAGAGACCAGAACCAGAGAGTCAATTAGAGCAGTCTGGCCCCCAAAATAGTGAATGGGAACAGGGTTGGCTAGATGCAGTGCTTCTCAGACTTCACTATGCACACAAGTGCCTGGGGACCTTGTTAAAATGCAAATCTTGGGCCTGCCCAGTGGCATCATAGTTAAGTTCTCACACTCTGTTTCAGTGGCCCTGGGTTTGCAGGTTTGGATCCCAGGTGGGGACCTACGCACCGCTCATCAAGCCATGCTGTGGCGGCTTCCCACATACAAAATAGAGGGAGACTGGCATGAATGTTAGCTCAGGGACAATCTTTCTCAAGCAAAAAGAGGAAGATTGGCAATAGATGTTAGCTCAGGGCCAATCTTCCTCACCAAAAAAAACAAACAAACAAAAGCAAATCTTGATTGGGTAGGTCTGGGATGGGGCCTGACATTCTGCATTTCTAACAAGCTCCTAGGTGATGCTGATATTGCTGGTCCTCAAGCACACTGGGTGGCAAGGGGTTGAATTAACACAAAGAAGCCATTCCCGCCCACCTCCCACCCCAGAAAGGGTCTACAGACTAATGGAGAATCAGAGCATGATGTTTTCTAGGAGAAAAACAAAACAAAAATTTTACAGCTGTGATGTCAATGATAAGATTCTGTGTCAAGACTCAGGGATGTCAACTGTGCACAGGATAGCTCAACCTGAAGTTTGGGGGCCAATGGTCAGGGCTATCAGACATCCCAAGAATGCTACAGATTCTCTGATCTGATAGGAACTTAGCCAATCCTTGTCCCAAGGAACAGAGTCAGAAACTCTCATCTCAGCCTGGGCAATCAGCACATACCCAACTGATTCCTCAAACATCCAATAAGCACCTTCCTGGCACCGGGAATACAAAGAACTTCCAGTGTAAAATCGAAGAGCTGACTCAGAATAGAAATGTCCTCAAAACAAGGCACCTGGGAGATGATTTGGGACTTTGGGGGCTGTGAAAGAATAAGGCCAGAACCGTACCTAAAACCCAGAGCTTGGTTCAGCAGGGGGCATTCTCAGGAAACAACTGTTAAAGTGATTCAGGCCAGAGCTCTAATTTTTGGAAACTACAACACCTGTGTTACAGGTGTGTCATGACATCTCATAGTACGGAGGAAATTAATTAAAAATGGCTGAAAATGACACAATGTTTCACAATTACTTCCAAGTGCTGTTAGCCAAACAAACGAAACGAAAAACTTTTTAACAGCTCCATACCTTCCTTCTTCAGGTAACCACAAAATGATCAAGAAGGGCAAGTCCAGACCGGATTCCCTTTTAAAAGTTAACGTCTGAGTCAGATACAGGTCCAGATGCCAAGTTCTCCGCATCTTTTCTGTAACTCATGTGACACATAGCAAAACGAAACCTAACGTGTGTTTATCTAAGAATGTGTGCATGCCTCCCGAGGCCCTGCCTGGTGAGCGCCTTCTCGTTAAAGCCATGCCTCCAGACCGCCAGAATCTGTGCAGCCTGAGCTGGCTTCCCTCACAATGGCGCCCAAGAAGGAATATGGCAACAGAACAGCGTAGTAAGAATCTGCCTGTGCTTCTCCAGTGGCCCTTAAGAGAAAGTGTGCACTGCCTAGCACTGGCACAATGAGCCCTAGGTGAAGGACAGTCTGTCCCCAAAGAGGAGGTGGCTATTTGGGGCTACCTGAATTGCTGATGCTCTCCCAAGTGATTACAGGTATGGAAGAAAGGGTGTGCCCCAAAGTGAGAGCCCTGATATCTATAGGGAGACATGTGGCACATGGTGAGTTCTATCAGGGGACACTTTTACTTTTATGGTATCATTTGAAATTCTCATAACAAGAATATATTCAAACATTACTTGCATAATTAAAAATAAATTTTAAAAAAGCATGATAAAAACAATTCCAAACTCCCTTTACCTTTATCCCATAGTCATCAAACAAACCCGATTCTGTTTGCCAAAAAGACCTTCCAGTAGAAAGCAAACTCATTGAGCATTCTAGTCCACTTGAATGTTTCTTGGCAAAAAATAATAAAGTGCATCGTGGGGCACCACCTCTGGTGAGTTTAGTCCCTCCTCCTCTGACTGTTCCTCCTGGACAGATCCCTCTCTCACCATGCCACCACAGGGCTCTTTCAGAAATGCATCCTAGACCTCACCAACACCCTCCCCTGCCCAAGCATAAAACCCACACATCTTGGCAGGACATGTCCAACCCTGTGAGCTTCAGTTGGCTTCACCTCTTCCTGCTCCCCATGACAGCCACCTACAGTACAGACTTGTCCTTCTTGGCGAGCTCCTGGCTTTCTGCCCATCCTGCTACTCCTCCTGGAATACCACTTTCCTCCTCTCTGCTCTTCAAAATCCTCCACATCCCTAGGGAGTTGGCATGACATCAGTCACTGCCCCTGGTTAGTGCTCCCTGACCTCAGCCCACTGCCAACAGCTGGGGTCCCTGCTCTGGGCTTCCATGTTGTATGTCTAGGGCTTACCCCACAGTATAGCTGAGCACACTGTTAACCTCTCCTTGGGTCTGTAATTCTGTACCCTCAGCACCTAGACCACAGCAGGAGCTCCATAAATATCTTTGACAAAACTGAAGGAAGTTTCATCCCCAAGGCTCTGATATCAAGAACTTACAAAACTGAATATCTGAATTTGCATAACAAGCCATGGGTTTGCCTCTTTCTCCAATCTCCCACTCCCTGTACCCTGAAACATCTGTGTACCACAGTCAAGGCCTGAGGTGCCCTCAACACATCCCTAACCTGGGCTGCAATGGACAGGGTGGGCTCAGGAGGCTGGGCCTTGGTACCTTTACCTCCTGGGAAAGATAGCAACACGGGAACCCAACAGTGACCACCTCATCGGAGATCATTCTAAACATCTCTTGATTCTAAATATCTCCTTTAATCTGTTAACATGGTTTATAACATTAATTGATTTTCTAATGTTGAACTAATTTTGCATTCCTGAGATAAACCCACCTGTTAATGAGGAATTATTCTTTTTATACATTGCTAGATTCAGGATCCTAATATTTTATAAAGGATTTCTACATTTATACTCATGAGTGACATTGGTCTATAATTTTCTTTTCTTGTATCATCCTTATCAGATTTAGTATCAAAGTTATACCAGCCTCTTTTTCAATACTCTGGAAGAATTTATTTGAAACTGAAATTACGTATTCCCTCAGTGATTGGTAGAACTCACCAATGAAACCAGCTAGGCCCAGAGTTTTCTTTGAGGGAAAATCTTTGGCTACTAATTCAATGTCTTTAATGATTACAGGCTGTTTCACTTTTTTGTTTCTTACAAAATCAATTTTGGTAAGCTATATTTTCCTAGGCAATTCCAAATATTTGGATTACATAAAAAGATAACTGATATCTGACCGGAATGCTGACCCTGAGGTGAACGAACCCTGCAAGAAATTAAGTGCCTTGGGAATCATCAGAGAAATAACAGCTCACATGTGTACTGTATGTTACAATTTATAAAAGTACTACCCATATGTTACCTTATCTGAAGATGGAGCTGTGGGTGGCTTTGGTGACTTGTGTTGTCTAATTATTTGCCAAGGGATGGATAACTTCCTATTTAGCAGACTCAGCTGATTTCGATCAACATCTTATGGCTGGTCAAGCTGGGAAATTATGTGGTGGCCTATGCAACTACTGAAGTCCTCACTTCAGTCCTATGAGTCACCTGTCATTAACAAGAGGAAGCAGCCACCAAGTGCCTTGGGAGTGTCAACATTAGGGCGTCGGGAGTGTTCTCAGCTCATGG